CTAGCTCTTCTTTTTTATTTTTGTGAAATGAAACAAAACAACAACCCAAAATTACATTATTATTATAACTCTTTATTAGCTCATTAACATTCTCAATTTTTATTCTTAGGTAACAATATTCTTATTTATCCCACTCATGTTCTCTGTGATTTCTGCTTTGGCTGTTGTGATAGAATGAAGTAAGTTTTAAAAGACATCCAAAATCCAAGACCCTTTTTTTGCAGATGGAGCTGGTGGAAAGGCTTTCCCCCGCTCTTCCAGAAGACGTGAAACAGCAGGAGCAAGTGCTCCCAAATATGACCCGGTTCGGAAACCAACAGCACAGAAAGGAAAAGCTTTTGACAAGAGACCTCGACCTCGTGGACCTTATTTGGAGGGTAGAAAGGAGGGTCCCCAGGTACAGACAAAGCTTGAATTAATTTTGAAGTTGGCTGTTATAGAACCAATGTTTCATCCAGAATTCCAACAATCTCTGCTTTTTCTCTCTAAAATTTCAGATAGCAGCAGAGGAGATGGAGTATGGCTCTGTCATAGCTCCAGGAAGCAAGAAGCAAAACTTAAATCATTTGTTGAATTTTCATTATGCTCCAAGAGAGGGAACAAGCAATCAGCATTGGCGACACCATACCAACAGTGGCCATGGCTCTGGATTGGCACGTTATTTCAGGGGAACTCCTCACAAATACAACAAAGAGCAATTTTTGCAGGCTAAGTTAGTTTCTGTGATCTGTTTCCAGTTTAACTGGTCTTTTTCTTAAATATGTAGTTTTATAAACCTATCGCCTACTTTTTCTTCTAGCTGTCAGTTTGCTGTCAAATCAGATGGAGATTATAAGCAATATCTATGCAACCCAGATCAACTTGTTGATTGGGATCTTGTGGAGCAAATAGTGAGTGTGACATCTTTTTAATCTGCTCTCAATTAAATCTTTTAAGTCACATTTTCAAATTTTATTTTTATTTTAGCGTGTTATGAGTCCAGAAGAAACAAACTGCCCCATTTGCCTCTACCCACCAGTGGCAGCAAAGATGACACGCTGTGGCCACATTTTCTGTTGGTCTTGCATTCTGCATTACTTAGCACTTTCTGACAAGTCCTGGCGCAAATGTCCTATCTGCTATGAGTCAGTCCACAAACGTGATCTGAAGAGGTAGCTTTTACTTTTTCCTGTCTACTTACAAGTATACACTTTCCGTATGATAACTGTAATATTGTTATTTCAGTGTGCTGGCTTTGAAACCTACAGCATTTTCTGTTGGTGGTGAGATAACAATGCGTTTGATGCGCCGTGAACGGGGTTCACTTGAAGCTGTTCCAGTTGAACAGTGGGATCTACGTCCTTCAGTGCCTCTGCTGTCTGTTTCTGAATCAGCTGTAGACACATTCTATGCCAAATTGCTTTTAGCTGATTCATCTGATGTATGTTTGACTCAAATGAGTAATCTGTCCATTTAAATGAAATTTTACAAAGCTATAAAACAGTATGTTATTTTTTCAGGTGCTTAAGATAATGGATGGTGAGAAGGCAGCCCTTCAAGAACAGCTAAAAACTGATAACGGGAGCCCAGAGGTGTGCTTTGTGGAACAAGCCATGGAAATGTGGCTTGAGAGGGAGGCTCTAGTGAAGGTATATACTGTATAATTTTTTTTCTTTTCACGTCTAAATTTCAGTCCTAACTTACATTTTACCCTCAGGGAGTTAAATTGGACCGCTCAGTATCAGATCTAAAAAAAGCAGAGTTGTTGAATGAGCCTCAAGAGGTGTATACTACCATGGCAATGGTAGAAGAAGGGGCGTCTGGGGAAATATCTGAAGCAAAAGACATTTTCAATGGTGCCGCAGTCACAGTGGACAAGAAAATTGAGAGGCAAGTAGCAACAAAACAAAATTAACTATAATACAGTTACTGTCTTTTGTTTCTAACTTTTCTTTCATTTACAGACCACGTTTGGAAAGCACTAGCAGTGAAGATAATGGGACGACCATAACAGCTGAGGATCTTGAACATAGTACCTTGAAACAACCCCTGAAACATTTTTATTTCTATCAAGGTTAGTATTATAAAATTGCTTTGTTGATGTCATTTTGACTGCTGGGCAGTTTTCACTTTGTGAAATAAACTAATTATCTTATTCTTACTTACTCTGAATTTAGCCATGGATGGACAGCATATTTACCTTCATGCTCTTAATGCTCGGATGTTGGAGATGGCATATGGTTCTCTTGAAAAGTGTCCTTTAACAATTTCTGGGTGCATTGTGGAGAAAGAGATGGGGTCCATGACTGAAGACTTGCGCAAACGTCTTCGTTACATGCAACACTTGCCTGTGACCTGTCAGTTTGAAGTGGTTGAACTAACTCTTGATGAGTCTATCATTCCACTTGAAATACTTGACATATTCAAAGAACAAGTAGAGACTCGCCGTCGACGTCGGCAGAAGCGAGATCGGGAAGAGATGCGTCGTGAGAAGAAGATAAATGATGAAGAAAACAGACGCTGGGGAAGGCACCCAACACCCCACATACGAATTGCTTCTCACCATCATTTTCCAATTTGTGGCAATGAGTCATCTCCACCTTCGTAAGTTGAAAGTTTTTATGATGACTAAGTTTTTATGCCCTTCTTTTTGTTCGTTGATTTTTCATTTTCTGTACATACTAGGTCGTCTGTACCAAAGTCACCATCAGTTTCCAGTCTTGCTAGCACTTCTACTCAATCCTCTCTGAACATCTCTGTTGAGAACTTGAATTTAGATGGGCCTCAAGAGGTTGAGCAATATCCAGCAGTTGGGCAAGAAACTCCTACTGACAGCAATGGTCCATCATTTGCACAGGTATGGCAACCGCATTTACTTATTAAGTACTTTTTTAAAAATGCATAAAATTAAATTGTTACCACTGGTTACCAACTAACTTTCAACTGTGTTTGTATTGTTTTTAGATGTTACGCACTGGAAAGAACTCATTTTCCAGTAGAGCAGGTTGGAACCGCCAGTCGACCCCTCTCACTCAACCAATGTTGAGTTCTCCAGCTCACAGACAACGCACAGCATCTGATAGCGAGCCTGAGCCTGAAGGCTATGTTCCAGCTCCAACATTCAGTCAGAGCTTCAGTGATGCAATAGCTATTGCTTTAGCTAAATCTGAGGGACCTTCCCATGAAGCTAATGCAGATCTATCTGGAGGTGGAAAGAAAAAGAAGAAACAGAAACCAAAAGTTCTGTTTTCTACTTCAATGGCCTTCTCAGGCAAATGAGAATAATACTCGTACTCTTGGCTAGTTGTCACATGTCCATGTCGCTTGTTTGTTATTATTTTGATTGAAATAAAACAAAAATGGGGCCTTTTAATGTTGAAAAATATTAAACATATTTCTTTTTCAAAAGACTAAAACCTAAAAAAACATTGTTTTTATTTTAAAAGGTAGTTTTCTTCACAAATAGTTGAAGGGTCTTATCTAGTTTGCTCTGTTACTTGTAGATTTTTACCAGGGGCACAATTGTCAAGACTACATATAGTAGATACGCCTCAAAGCATCTTCAATGGTTTTCTTTGTGAAGACTGATGTGCTCATTTGTCATTCATACTCACTCTCTGTAAGCAATCATATCTTTTCTGAACGCTAGATTAAATTGCCTTTACGTTTCTGGTCCTTGAATTTGATTGTAATTTATTTTGTTAGGGCTGAACTTTATTATAATTTTATGCAATTCTTTGTGATATGATGGCAAGATAAATCTTTCAGAGGGGAATGAATTAGTGTATCCTACACTAACTTCTTCTTTACTTCTATTTGACATTTCTTGCCATTTGGGATTTTATTTGTGTAGGGAATGACTTATGACATGGTCTGTGATTGTAATACAGTAATGGTAAAACCTACTGGGATGCCTCGGACCCAGTGGGCTCTTTTACCAGAAGCTACAGTGTATTGTTAATTAAAACAAATTCTGATAATAAAAACTTTATCTGTGCAATCAAGACATTCAATTTTATCTCTATCAAAACCATTGTCATTTGACTGTTCAATACAGTTGATATAGCATCTATACTAGTCATTTATAATTTATACTAATCATATATAATAATTTATATTATGGTGCAACTGTGGCATTAGTCCTCTACACAGCTTGTGTAATTGTTGCTCACAGCCATGTAAAGTAGTTTTCTATACACCCATTGAAAGCACCACAATTTTCCATACTCTAAAGAAGAAAATACTTGTCTAAAGACAGCTCAGCAAATCTCATACACAACCCAACTCTTGACCAAAACATTTGGAGTGTGTCTTTTTTTCTGAGAAGTAAGATGGGTTGTGGCTGCAAAAAAAACATTTGCAATAACAAAAGGTGCAAGTGTGTAAAGACGGAGGGAAAAAAGTGTGATGAAACATGTGCTTGTGATCCGCACAAATGTGAAAATCGTAAAGAAGTAAACATTACTGTTGTACATAATCTTGGAGGTGTTTATAGTAGTTTTAGTAGATTTATTATGACCGTTAATATTGTTTGTTTTTTGTTGTTTTTCTTGCTCAAAGACTGTGGACAAGGAACAATATGAAGAAGGAAAGGATGAAGCACAAAATCTTAAAGAAGAGGATGAAATAAAAGAGGATGCACAGCAGGCACAGAAAAAATGTACTTGGGAGGATATGGAGAGAAAGCTACGTGAACAGTACTCTAAAGACGTTCAGCATTTAAGAAAAGCAAAGAATGCTTCTAAAATAGTTCCCAGAAACTTGGAGGATATTGTGGTGAAAAGGGAAAATGAAATTGAGACGGTATTGCAGAACATGGTAAGTAGAAATCATAAGTATTTTTTTTCAGCCAATGGTCAAATACACTGAAAATGTCTGGCAAAAATACAACCCTGGTAAAAAGTAAAGTGGTAAAGAAGCAGTTTTAGGAACCAAATGCCCTTTAAAAGTAAATGATCCACTAAAATCCCTCTTAGCCACTTAAAACTTTTACCGATATAATGCATGTGTGTATGCTGTATTATGATTAACAAAGAAAGAAAAATATGATTTGCCTATTCTTGTGATGAAACACTTCAACTCTCAGTTAACAAAGTGCATTTTTTGCAGGCTAAGATGGATATTAATGAAAACAAGTATGAAGTGTTGGGAACAGAAGAATGGCTTGATTTTGAAAGGAAACAAACCCCTTGCACAATATGTAAACGTAAATTTCAACCAGATCGTATTGCTAAACATGAAGATATTTGCAGAAGGAGGTCTCGCACTTCAAAGATTGAAGTTTCATTTTAAATACAACTAAAAATATATCTACAGGCATTATGCTGTGCCTTAAAATTTTTTCGTGCCAATTTAATACTAGCATTATGAATACTGCATTTTTGATCTTTTAGTTTGTAAGTTTTGTGAATAAATTAATCAAATGTATGCAGCTATTAAATGGTGATCAAATCATTTGGAACCCTGAAACTGACACAGCATTCAAGGCAACAAGAGCCTCGGAACTGAGCCGGAGGCTGGGGTACGGGCAGAGGGAGGAGATCGTAGGTCCAGGCGTCCGAGTAAACCCCGCCCTTGTCTAGGACTACCCAAGAGTCCCAGACTACCCTTGCCTTCCCAATGATAAAAAGGGGGGGGGGCAGGAGGGTGCAGGCCAGCACACTACGATAATGTCACGAATGGCCGCTAGGGGTCTCTGTGAGGGCCATCCGGGGGTGCAAAAGGACGAGGGGGGTAAGCAGAAGGGGTCCGGGCCCGGGCGCGTCCGCGAGGCATGGCGGGGGGCGGCGGCGGGGGACGGGGCCACCACCAGGCGGGGGCCGGGGTGGATCAATATCTAGTGGGATAGGTGGGGGCGCGGCGTGTCGGGGCTGGTCGGGTCGGGCTGGGGCTGGCTCGGGAGTCGAGCTAGCGGCTGTGGCGGCGACGGCCACGCCTGGGCCGCGCCACCCCGGGCTTGGGCTGAGGGCCGCCTCGCCAGCCTTAGTCAGCCAGCCTCGTCAGGCCAACAGCAGCCTCAGGCGTTAGCCTCAGGCTGGGCCGCGGCAGGCCAGCCCACATGGCGGACGCAGCTTGCGCGGGCGGCAGCAGCAGGAGCAGCACCAGCTGCAGCAGCAGGAGGCCCAGGCCCGCCCTAGCGGCCGCCCTCGGGCCCGCCGCCAGGCTCGCCGACACCAAGCCGTTCCCATGAGTCGCCTATCGGCGAGACGGCCTGGGACAGGGACAGGGCCCCGCGGCCCCCGCGCTCGGACGGCGTGATCCTGGACGGCCTCGGATGAAGCAAGACGGGGCTTATTCCCAGGGTGAGTAGTTCCTCTGCCCCTGCAGTCACTCCTGTGTTGCTCCTCGCCGTTCGCCCCTCAGCCGATTGCTGCGTGTTGCGCACGTAGTGTGTTTGTGCTCATGCTCCCCGCCCCTCGCTCGCGCGCTGCACACAGTGCGCTGCTTCTACCCGCCCCCGCGCACTCCTTGCATTGCGCCGGACACTACTGCTAGAGAGCGGACTGACCACTCCGTGGACTCCGTGCCCCAGGCCGCGAGCGGCGAGGGGGCGGGGCGGGGCAGGGTGGGGCGCCCAACTTGTTTATTGTTTGCGCATATAGCAGAGAGCTTCTACATGGCCTCGACCCCCCCCCCCCTCTTTTCCCCCTTCCACCACCTCCGCCCCTTCTTTCTGCCTCTATCTCCGACACACCACTCTGCCTATTTCTCTCCTCCCAAACTCCCATTCTTTCTGTCTCTCCCAGTTCCTCTTGCTCGCCGCCTGCACCCCTCTCCCTTTTCTCCCGCATTTCGTCCCGTTCACCGTCCCCCATTCCCCACGGGACACGGACACTAGATTGTTTCGCACCTGGAACAGAACCCGAGACACCTGCCAGCCTTGCACGGCGCTCGCGCATGCTGCGGTGCTCACAACCTTGCTTGATTATTGCGATTATTCTGGCGAGAACGTCCTTCGCACGGCCGCAGTCCGCACGGGCTCCGCTGTGCTCAATGAGAACCAACTGGTTGAACCAACTGGTTGGGCAGCGCAGATGTCCCCCCCCCCCCATCCCCAGTCCGCCCCTTCCTCCATTCGCGACTGCCTGACGAGACCATCTCATCTGCCGGGCGTTTTCCTTTTCCTGCCCGCGGCATCTTTTCTCTCGTGGTTCGAACCTAGCGCGACCACCACTCTGCCGCCGCCCTCCGCACGCTATCGGCTGGGAGGGGGTGGCGTGGGGGCGGCGCG